CCTTCCCGACAACGTAAAACATTGGTGCCAATCTGATAAATATAAAGCATTGCCAAGTTTATTGCATGAAAGTGATCAGTTCTCTGAAGGAGTTAATTGCTATCTAAAAATATTAGTCTTAAAAAGTGTACGTAATGTGTAGGAAATGCCTTAATTATAAGGTAACTGAAATTCGAAGAGAAATTTCAGTCAAATTAGCTTCTTAGCTTGGATTTAATAATTAACACTTTTCAATACATCATTTAAAAGTACTCGTTTACTAATCGACGCATTATAAAGAAATAATTTACTTGATACTCGTTCATTTTGTAACAAGCACGTTCAAAAATTACAACTTTTCTTTCAGCTGACCAGAGAGTAATTTGACAACCTTAATCCTACCCAAAATCAAACTTTTTAAAAATATTGCCAGTTTTAAATATAGTGACTCGTGACGGATCATTAGCTGTGACGCGGTGATCCATTCGAGTTTCAATATCAAAAAGTAGTAAGGAAGCTTCTGATTGGATAACTTCGTCCCCGTGATACATCAAAAGTTACTTTATTTAAATCAGACTATACCTGAAATAGACCTTTATTTAGATACAGTAATGCCTCAACATTCGCGAGAGTTAGGTTCCCAAAAAGCATCGCGAGTGTCAAATCCGCGAATGTTGAGTCTACGTTTAATGAAGAAAGGTGGCTCACGTTTCTGGATATCGGAACAACATCTTGTTTAAACAAGAAGAAAAAAATCTGTCAAACAGTGGCAGTTGAGTCGAATAAGCGTAACATTAAAGATAAGAAATAAAACAATATTCGAAACTTATTTCCAAGTTGAAAGTGATATATTTGTTTTTGTTTCATCATCCTCGTTATTATAATTTCCAAATATGGAAGAGTTGCTGCTTCTATTTCTCTGTTAAATTTCCAAGTTATTTTCGTGTTCGGATCAAATTCGAATGCCCTTTGCATTAAGGCGGCTTCACACCTGTGGCATTCGGCGAACCCCGAGCAACCGCTCGCCGAATCTCAAGTAGTAGCTTGCGATTCGTGAAGCGCGGAACATTCGCCCTGCTCACCGCGTGTCGGTCTTTAGGACTCGCCCAAGAGAGCGAACATTCGCCGAACACATCAGCTGTTCGGGACTGGGTGAGCAGTAGATCGCTGCTCGGCGAATGCCGAATGTGTGGAGCCGCCTTTAGAGCGTATTAAAAGGTTTTGAACGCCATTAACATTTTTGACGCTGAAACAACTCCAGGACGTAGTTTCGCTTCCGTTACTTAATCATTGCGTTCTTGGAGGTTTTCTGCGCTGATGATTACCCGAAGCTCCTCTTCAGTGAAGTCTCTTTAGAGATAAAGAGAGATATAGTTACACAGATCCTGAATGCCTTTCTATTCATGCGGCCAAAACTCTTACCTCCAATTGAACGCCACTGAATTGAATTATTTTACAATTTTTTATTGTAATAATGTGAATTGACTTTCCTAACTTTGACCTCTTTGCAGAACGGGGTACTTAGAACTCCGGAGTTTGTCTCCCAAGTGACGCTGTTAAAGAAAATTAAATGTTTTCTCTTTCAGAAAGGGAGAAAAACAAAGTACGGCTAAAAGGCGCACTTGCGAATGTTAAAACCGGTAGCATTTCGTTAGTCGCGAAAGTTCGGAACTCGAGGATATCGAGGAATTACTGTTTATATTATTTGATTATATAATGGAAACAAAATTAAAGTTGATTGAATGAATAAATCGTTCCAATAATAATTCTATTGTTCCCAAGTCTTATGTTATGACCGAAGCATCCTATGAATTTGTTACTCTTTCGAGTTTTCTAAGATTTTGCAATATACATGGGGTACCGATTTTATTCCATTAAAATGTGTGATCGTGCATAACATTCCATTTAAAGGATTTTCGTAATTTACGCATATTAAACACAGGGAAGGGGTCAGAACATTTTCAGTATAAGTGGGATTATTGGTTTACTGAATTTGCCGGCGTATAAGTTTTTTTTCCGGCTTTTATTTCTTCAAAATAAAAATATGTTATACAGGTGTGTCTTTCGCGTCTTACTGAAGCAAATTAGTTTTTCTCGCATAATTATATTAAATGAGTTGTGCTTATTCGGCGGTGCTCGTTTTTCGCTGATCAACACTGTCCTAATAATAGTCAATGTCATTATGCCAAGCGACAATCAATAATTGTTCATTTACCATTTTAAAATTACATTTCTTAAATGAATATGGTTTTTTGCGCGAACACAGGCGAAATTTTGATTTGTTTATCTGAGAAATCTGTATGAAAGAAATTATTATGGTGAATGTTGCCTAATAATGAGGCTATGTGACACAAATATCAGTTCCAAATTTCTATTTTTTGAAATTGTATTAATCTGACGATATTATCACACATACTCAAGTGGAATTTTGCAGTGTGCTTTTTATAAGTTTTTTTTCTATACTGCATTGCAACCATGCTTAACTGAAAGAGCCTGGTTTTAAAGCAATAATTTTGTTATTTTATATAGTATTAAGAACTGTTAATTCCAACATGCGCAAAATAAAAGCATGCATATAATCGAACCTGTATATCTCAAAGTGTCTCCAGAAGGAAAGAAAGAAAGAAAGAAAGAATGAAAGAGAGAAGGATAGGAAGAGAAAGAGAGAAGGATAGGAAGAGAAAGAGAGAAGGATAGAAGAGAAAGAGAGGAGGATAGGAAGAGAAAGACAGGAGGATAGGAGAGAAAGAGAGGAGGATAGGAAGAGGAAAGAGAAGGAGGATAGGGAACAGCAGAAAGAGAGGAGGATAGGAAGACAAAGAGAGGAGGATTAGAAGAGAAAGAGAGGAGGATAGGAAGAGAGAGAGAGGATAGGAAGAGAAGAGAGGAGATAGAGAGAAAGAGAGGAGGATAGGGAAGAGGAAAGAGAGAGGATAGGAAGAGAAAGAGAGTGAGGATAGGAAGAGAAAGAGAGGAGGATAGGAAGAGAAAGAGAGGGGAAAGCGGGATAGGAAAGAGAAAGAGAGGAGGATAGGAAGAGAAAAGAGAGGAGGAAGGAAGAGAAAGAGAGGAGGATAGGAAGAAGAAAGAGAGGAGGACTAGGAAGAGAAAGAGAGGGGATAGGAAGAGAAAGAGAGAAGGATGGAAGAGAAAGAGAGAAGATAGGAAGAGGAAGAGAGGAAGCGATAGCGAAGAGGTAGAGGGGAGGATAGGAAGAGGAAGAAGGGGAGGATAGGAAGAGTGAAGAGGGGAGGATAGAAAGAGGAAGAGGGAGGATAGGAAGAGGAAGAGGGCTGAGATAGGAAGAGGAAGAGGGGAGGATAGGAAGAGGAAGAGGGGAGGATAGGAAGAGAAGAGGGGAGGATAGGAAGAGGAAGAGGGAGGATAGGCAAGAGGAAGAGGGAGGATAGGAAGAGGAGAGGGGCAGGGATAGGAAGAGGAAGGAGGGACGGATAGGAAGAGGAAGAGGGGAGGATAGGAAGAGGAAGAGGGGAGGATAGGAAGAGGAGCAGGGGAGGATAGGAAGAGGAAGAGCGGAGGATAGGAAAGGAGAGGAGGATAGGAAGAGGAAAAGGGGAGGATAGGAAGAGGAAGAGGGGAGGATAGGAAGATGAAGAGGGGAGTAGGAAGAGGAAGAGGGGAGGATAGGAAGAGGAAGAGGGAGGATAGGAAGGAGAACACCGAGGAGGATAGAAGAGGAAGAGGGAGCGATAGGAAGAGGAAGAGGGAGGATAGGAGAGGAAGAGGGGAGAGGTTAGGAAGAGGATAGAGCGGGAGGATAGGAAGGAGGAAGAAGGGGAGGATAGGAAGAGGAAGAGGAGGATAGGAAAAGGAAGAGGAGGATAGGAAGAGGAAGAGGGGGAGGATAGGAAATAGGAAGAGGGGAGGAATAGGAAGAGAAGAGGGGGAGGATTGGAAGAGGAAGAGGGGAGGATAGGAAGAGGAGAGGGGAGGATAGGAAGAGGAAGAGCGGAGATAGGAAGAGGAAAGAGGGGAGGATAGGAGAGAGGAGAGGGAGGGATAGGAAGAGGAAGAGGGGAGGATAGGAAGAGGAAGAAGGGAGGATAGGAAGAGGAGAGGGAGGATAGGAAGAGGAAAGGGAGATAGAAGAGGAAGAGGGGAGGATAGGAAGAGGAAGAGGAGGAGCGATAGGAAGAGAAGAGGGGGAGGATAAGGAAGGAGGAAGAGGGGAGGATAGAACGGGAAGAGGGGAGGATAGGAAGAGGAAGAGGGGAGGATAGGAAGAGGAAGAGGGTGAGGCAAGGAAAGAGGAAAGGGGAGCGATAGGAAGAGGAAGAGGGAGGATAGGAAGGGGAAGAGGGGAGGATAGGAAGGGAAGAAGGGGAGGCATAGGCAAGGGAAAGAGGGAGGATAGGAAGGGAAAGAGGGGAGGATAGGAAGGGAAAGAGGGAAGGATAGGAAGGCGAAAGAGGGAGGATAGGAAGCGGAAAGAGGGGAGTAGGAAGGGAAAGAGGGAGGATAGGAGGGAAAGAGGGAGGATAGGAAGGGAAGAGGGGAGGATGGAAGGGAAAGAGGAGGATAGAAGGGAAAGAGGAGGATAGGAAGGGAAAGAAGGGGGAGAGGATAGGAAGGAAAAGAGGGAGGCGATAGGAGGGAAAGAGGGGGATAGGAAGGGAAAGAGGCAGGATAGGAAGGGACAAGAGGGCGAGGATAGGAAGGAAGAAGGGAGGATAGGAAGTGAAAGAGGAGGAATAGAAGGGAAAGAGGGAGATAGGAAGGGAAAGAGGGAGGATAGGAAGGGAAAGAGGGTGAGGATAGGAAGGGAAAGAGGGAGGATAGGAGGGAAAGAGGGAGGATAGGAAGGGAAGAGGGGGGGATAGGAAGGGAAAGAGGGGAGGGATAGGAAGGGAAAGAGGGGAGGATAGGAGGGAAAGAGGGGAGGATAGGGAGGGAAAGAGGGGAAGGATAGGAGCCGGAAAGAGGGTGAGGATAGAAGGGAAAGAGGGAGGATAGGAAGGAAAGAGGGGAGGATAGGAAGGGAAGAGGGGAGGATAGGATGAGAAAGAGGGGAGGATAAGAAGAGAAAGAGGGGAGGATAGGAAGAGAAAGAGGGGAGGATAGGAAGAGAATGAGAGAAGGATAGGAAGAGAATGAGAGAAGGATAGGAAGGGAAAGAGGGGAGGATAGGATGAGAAAGAGGGGAGGATAGGAAGAGAAAGACAGAATTACTTTATAAAATTTGATATATAATATATTTGATATCCTAATATAATTTGATGTTTGAAGTCCTATAGGCTATTTTGGCGAAAAAATATTCATATTTTAGGAAATTTAGAGAGATTTTATTTGTTTCATTGTCCCCAATATTTTTTTGTATTGTGAATAAAGGTATGAATTGGGAGGGAATACATTTTGTATGTTGTCTTCCTTCACATGACTTACTCAATGACCATTGGCTTGCAGTTTCATGGTCATCGCTTTCAGATATATTGTACGACCTCAACACTTTGCTGTTTGCCAACGTACAATTAGTAATTATTGTTATTGGCATGGTTGAATACTTTGGAGGATTTGCGCATTGTGAGCTATCATATAGTTACTGTTGATACTTCCTTACCATGGGCATAAGTCCTTTTTAATAGAGTATAATTTGATATAGGTACTTGAATTTTTATTATAATTCATCAGAATGTGTTTTATGTACCTTTGTTTTAATAGTTATTTTTTTGGTTTCAGGTGGAACATGTTTCAATGGTGAACTGAATGGTGATTTGGAAGACACAATGGAAATGTGTGATGTCAGTCAGCATAATTCACTTATGTTGAAAGTTGTGTCCAACAAATGTGTAAATGATGAGCGTTCCAGTATTACTGATTTTACACCGCAGGTGGCTAGTGGTGATAGTGGAAGTGCAGAACATCGACAAGAAATATGTTCTAAGGAATCTGAAACAAGTGACAAAGTGCCTAACAGTGAACCTGCAAATATGTGTAGGGACCTTGCAAGTGAAGTGCCTACAAGTGTTGGGAAGAGTATAGAACATATTGATATAGGGAAATCTGTGGGTATTCAAGAAATCATACCCGTTTCCACACATAGCATTAAGGATAGTGAACTCTCTAAAGAAATAGTGGATTTGAATAAAAACTGTGATGATTCAATTAGCCATGGTAGTAGTGTTCATGAAGACAATGCCGAGGTGAATGAAGTGATGTGTGTTACTGGCAAAAGTAATATAGAACTTTCTGGGAATTGTGAATTAAAATCAGGAAATGATGATATGTGCATTGCTGCTGAGACTGAGAAAAGTATAGCTTTTAAAAATAGTGGTGATTGCTCTGTTGATAAAAATGGTGAAGACTGTGAGGGAGAAACAAATTTACAACAGTCAGACTCTTCAGCCAATGAAATTGAGTGTTGTGATGATGAAGTATTTACAAATGAAATGCAAGTAGAAACAGATACCAATGGCAAAGATGAAGATGATGAGGGGGACAATGAAGGTGCAGTTGAAAATGAAGGTGAAGGTGAAAGTGAAGATTGTGTTAAGAACACTGGGCTTGAAACTGTGGAGATAAATGATGAGGATGAAGATGCACATGAACATGGTAAAACAGAGGAAACTCTCTTAAAAAATACCAATGAAGAAGATGCAATAAAATCGTGTAGTTTAGAACAAAATAATGAAGATGCAAAAAGCAATGATGAGTGCCAGGTTTCATCATCTGTTTCAGAAGAAAAGAATGAGAAGGGAGAAGAACAAACTCTGAATCAGACAGAAAATTCGGAGGGCAAATCAGAAGAGGTATCTTCCAAGGCAAAGAAATCGCGTAAAAGTGCTGTTGTATTGAATTTGACTCCTAGACGTAGTTCTCGAAATTTAAATAAACAAAAAAGTTATGTAGAGAAGGAAGAGGAACCAGAAATTCAAGAGATCACACCAAGTGATCCTCTTGCAGATCCTTTGTCTACTGATCCATTAAGGGATGATAAAGAAAATTCAAAATCCAGAGGTGCAAGAAAAAACACAATAGTTGTGAATGATACCAAGAGATTAGTTGAAATTGCAACTGGAAGCAAAGGTATGAAAGGGGGAAAGAAGGAGCCCACATTGGTGATCATAGATACTAATTCTATTCTTTCTGGAAGAGGACCTGTGCCTGTGTCTCAGGGATCTCCACCAGGTCCTTCATCAGTATCATCAGCATCATCATCATCAGGGTACTCTGTACTGCCAATTGCACTTCCTGCTCAGGGCTTATATCCTCCTGTTCGCATAAATAACCCTCTTCCTTCAGCCCCAATACATCCACCTGTTCCAGCACCTGTTCAGCCCAGACCATCTCCACCTCAAATCTTGCCAACGCTTACAGATGACATGTATGTTGTAGAAGCACCCTCATTTATTGTGCCATATGTTTATGAGAAGCCCCCAATCAAACCGTTGAAGGAATATCTTGAACAATTAGAAATAGAAATAGAAGAAACAAAAAGTAAAGAAAAAGAAGCAGCTGGCAGTGAAGAAGAGAAAAGTGATTGTTCACAAGAGAATGGTTGTAGTGAAAATGAAGCATCAAAACCTCAAGATGATGAACAATGTAAAGTTAATGGTGAGGATGTAGATGCTGAGACTCCAAAGTCAAAAAATGAAGATGATAACCATAACGGTGAAAAGGAATCAAACGTTACTGAAAATGTATCTGATACTGAGAGTATATCAAAATCAAAAAGTAGTGTTACTGAGCCCAAAGAGGAGACTGTTGATAAAGATGAATCTACAAAAGAAGTTGAAAAAAGCATGGAATTAGAAAAAAGTGATGATAATGAAAAGAATGACAGTGAAATTAATGATAACGAAAAGAGTAATGATGAAGAGAGAGTAAATGATGAAAAGAAGGCAACTGATGGTGAGAAGGTAGATGATGCTGAAAAACCAATTGAAAGTGATAAAACAGATGATGGTGAAAAGACAGATGATGGAGAAAAGGCTGGAGATGATGATAAAACTGGAGAGGGTGAAAAGGGCAATGAGACTGAAAAAAGTGAAAATCGCAATTCTGATAATAATGGCAATGTGCCACAAGATGGAAGAGAGAAAACTGAAATAAAACTAGAGGATAATAATAAGTCCTCATACTTCGATAATCCATTAGGAAAGTTCTTCATGCAAATTGGAATTAATTTAGTTCAAGAGTATGTTCAAACTGATCTTCTGAGATCTCAGAAACGAAAGCGTGATAGAGAAGGGCGGAAAGGAACTGTTTCTACACAGTATGCTATAAATTCCCTTGTTAAAAATTTGGAATTTAGTAAAGAGAATAATGAACCATTTCATTTGGAACAAAAGAAATGTGAATATTGCAGTTTTAAAACTGAATCTTCCTTGGTAATGGCACAGCATCTGGAAACCCCTCATATGCGAAATTATGTTTATAGGTGCAATTTCTGTCCTTTAGAGGTTCGAAGTCCGCATGATATTCTTTTTCACATGGAAGCTGAACATAATGTGCGGGGACGTTTAGAACGTGCACCAGCTTTTCATCAGTGTCCAAATTGCCCTTTTGAGGATAGTCAAAAAGGAAAATTGACTCGTCATATGCTCTCATGTGCTAAAAAGCATAAACCTGAACGTAATCAAGAACCACCACCTGACTGGGAACCACCTGCAAAAATTCCTCGCCTGGCACGTAGCCGTCCAACGGCATTGGGTTTGGGAGCAGCAGCCTATCAGGCGATGGCTGCAAAAAGTGTTCATCCCCTTCTTCCAAAGTTGGTTCCTGGCACTGTCCTTCCGCCTGCTCCAGGAGGGATTAATCGTGGTCGAGGGCGGCCTCCCATTCATGGACGATATATTCCTCAAGACCCCAAGGCAGTTCAACGTCCCATAGCACCAACACAAGTGCGACAAAGTAAGTAGACTTTATATTTCATTCAAGATATATTTCTGCATAATCCATTGCAAAGGTATATGTAAGCCAGCTTCAGGGTGGCCAGTGCATCTGGTAGTCGATCTGATTTAAAGAAGCTGGGAAAATCAGGAAAGCGCTGGGAGTTTTCTTCATAAGCAGGAATTTTTTCACTTGTAATTTCAACTATTGAAGTGATAGGTAATTGGGTGGTATGAATAAAAGTAAGCAATTACACTCACTCCTAGTTTAGGTGACCCTTCCCAGTTTCGTATGAATAAATTGGGTGAGCAAATGCTTAGTATTGGTATGAATACAGTTAAGCGTTTACTCCCTAGATTGAGCACTTGCTCCAAAATTTCGGAGGGACCATAGTAGCAGACTCGGCTTTGAAAAGTAAGGTTAAATTGGCCGATTTGTTTACCGTGTGCACATGCAGCAGACCAAAATAAATTACAAGATAAGGTGAAATTCTCGTGATGTAGACTACTAGAATCTTTACCGATTCGAAAAGGACAGTGTACGGTTGGTACGATTTTTATCGGTGTTTGCTTTCAGGCGCGTTTTCGTATTGCATATCTTCTATGTTAATCGTTCTTTTCGACTAGGAATTTTTCGGGGTACTGTTTTTTCAAACTTCGTAACGTTTTGTTTTGGCCGCAGCGGACCTCCGGAAGCTGACTCTTTTCGAAAATAATTTTATATTAGCTTAACATTTCGGCAAAAACAATCTGGGCCTGTGGCGCCTGTTCTTCGTTACTGCTACCCATAATCGAATTTAAAGAACGAGACAACAAAACATTGCTCTTTTCTCCGCACCAATGAGCGCGACGCGCGTAACGTATGTAACCTCAAGAAACCAATTTTTAAAACTCTTAAGCATGCACTATCACTTGTTCACATCGAGCAAATGCTTGCGAGACATGAGCAAGTTCTTCGGAGACGAAGCTTTTATTCATACGAAATGGAGCTTTCGCTTGGTGCCACGGAATAGACTCGCTTAGTTCCGGAGCAAGTACTCCTGAGCAAGGGTACTATCATTTTTATTCATATGACCCATTGTATCGAGTAATTTATAATCTGGCAAATATACTTGCTAAAGTTCGAAAAATACACTTGCTCATGTTTGGAAAACATACTTGCCCAAGGTGAGAAAACTGAAGTAAAATTCTGAAATTCAAAAGCACCGTCACTCTCAGCTAAAACACACAGCATACTTTGCTTACTGGAAGTTTCATCTGTATGATTATAATGATTTTGGTCAATGTTGCTTATCTTGATACTGCCTCAAACCCATTTATATGAAGTTTGAACCAAGCCTTACACACACACTTACTATCTCTCACTTGCGCGCGCTGTCACACCCCCAGTAGAACAGTGTCGTAACTCCAAAAGGTGATTTTTCAGGAGAGCGCTTTGATGGTTATTACGTTCTCACATGTTAATAACATCGCCAATAATTTACTAAAATAGGCCTAAAAAGAAATTACACTATTCTAGGACACGAAAGCTTAAAATTTCACATTAAAAATGTATTTAACCCAAAATTCATTTATTTTTTTACTTGCAAACCTTTCTGACGGTGCACGCGCACGCTGAGGGACATATTTCATGCAAAATAAAAATAATTGAAAAAAAAAAAAACTTACCACCGCCTTCTTTTAGATGAACAAATGTTTGTCATTTTACTGACATGCTTCGTTATTGCTGAGTAGTTTGTTGACGATTTCTCCTGAGTGTATAAATAGCGGAGAAATATACAGAGGTGTACTTCAACATTTGATAATTCAATAAACTTATACGCATTCGCTATGTATTTCTCCGTATGCTCAAACTTACTTCGTGTTCCAATCAAGTCACTTTAATATTCGGTCACTTCCGGTGGACGATATTGTCGCAAATGCATCAATTAGTGGGAGGGACATATTAACTACCCTCAACCCTCAGTTTCTGTCGGCCTTCAGATTTGCATTCTGCGTGCAGTATCCAGAATGTGACGTTCAAACAGCGTCAGGTGATAAAAACTGTTATCAAAAAATTATTTCCACAAATCCCCTATTTAAAATTGTAGGGACGTTTGGAGATCAAGACGGCATAAAACCGAAGATTGAATCCAAGCCCCAGAAAGACAGACGGAGAGATAACTTGCTATCAAAAAAAGAATCCAAGCGTGAGTGCTAAAAAAAGTGTGAGATGCGGATGGAAACTGGGGAAGAACGTTCATCCTGGAACCATATAGAGGTTTAAGAAGTACAGAATGTAACAGCAGAGTAGCCCCCCACCCCTCCAAAAAATAGAAAAAAATATGTACGTGATCAAAGCAAATCGAAGACTTGATATTCGCAAAATAAATTTAGAAAGCGCCAGAGAAGGCTGATAAAAGCAAATTTAACCCATATATACATGTAGATTTGACTTGGCTGTCCATGTGATGCCGTGTCGTTGGACCTCTCGGCCAACGACGCGGCTCCACCCGGACTGCTAAGAAGTCATGAACTCATCATGAACGTAATTTTCACCCCTAGAAGTGACAATATAATATAATAATAATAATAATAATAATAATAATAATAATAATAATTAATAATGATAATAATAATGATAATGATAATACGACAACTCCGGTTATAGTAAATTTCTTGGAACTAACATTTTTGGTTCACTATATTCGATAACATCTGCTGATGTCGGAATATTTATTGAAGAGTCAATGAATACTATTTGAGAGTCAATACTATGACCAGGGTGGCCAATTCCAGGAAAACATGAAAAATTCGGGGAATTTGTAGAACAATCGTTAGAAGCCGGGGAAAATTGAGACCATATATCTAGATAAATATTCCTTAAAAATAGTCCAAAATACAGTGTTTCAATTTTTGTTTGAATCTTTTTATTTCCTACTTTATCGCGGTGAAATCAGAGCTGAAAGATAGTATTAAGCTGATTTAATACTTATAAAAGTGTGAATTACTGCACAAATCTTATCAGTGTAAAAAAAAAAAAAAACACTGTAATTGGGAAAAGTCGGGGAAATTTGTTCCAGGAAATGATCAGCCAGTTCGGTTGACCTCTCACAAATACTCGCGTTTGAGAGCGGTTGCTCTACAATTATCCAAAGCTTATGGACAATTTCCCCGACATAAATTCTATTGACAATATTTAGTAAATTCTCGACAAGAGACGGAAAACCATAAACTTCAAGATTTGATGGGTCAAGATTTGATAAGTCAGACGCCGAAATAATGATAGCCAATACCGAAAAATACAATTTGCAATATTATAATATGAATATTACATTTCCGTTACAGATAATAGGTTTTTTAACCTTTTTAAAACTTACGCCCATAGTAGTATCTCGTCATTGTGACCGTACCTTGGTTCATATCGTGTAGCAATATGAGAATGGCAACGTCCGACACGAGTTTGAAGTTTGTAGAATTACTTCATTGTTATGCGATGTTTGGAACCCACTTTTGCATTAATGAATTTGTGAGGATGTGTTATCAAAAGAATTATTTTCCTCACATGTGGTAGATTGGTAATAGGTTTTACAAGACTGTTGGGTTCAGTATAATTGAAAACGTTGCTCAGACCGAAGTCGCTCGCCTTTCACCAAGGAGATCTGGTTCAATTCCCGGACACTCACGTGAAATTTGTTCCGACAAAACGAGTTTGGCTGCTTCACCTACCCTGCTAGTCCAACCCGAGTGAAATGTCCTAAATCCTACCACTTTCCTAATTTCTTCAAAATTCTGGCCGCTGGGTAGTGATGCAGTGCGCTAGAAAGAGGCGCGTACGCGGAAATACTATGCGGTGGTCCTCTTCACGACTCCTGACAAGACTTGCGGACTACAGCCTAGATTAAGAGTTACATAGAGTATATAACGTTTTAACTCCATACAGTATATAAACTTTCTTCACTTTGGCTTGTCACTGAAACGTGGCTATGGGCGTTGCCACAGAAATGAAATGAAATGACAATGTTTAAAAATTTAAAAATGGCTGAGATGTGTTAATATGGTCAGGAACTGTTGTGTTATATTACTTAGGGCCGGTTTCATCAATCAATGAGTAATAGTTTACTCTGGAGTAAATCATGTTTACTCGAGAGTAACTTCTTGGAGCGTTTCACCAACACTTTACTCGAGTGTAAATCGCTTACACGAGAGTAAATTCGAGAGTAACTTACACCGCGAAAATCCATCGGGTAAAGTACGGAGTAAATTCAGTTTTCAACGTGCATGTACCTCCGAAGTGTTGTTACGGCTCGACGATTACGAATGATAGTATTTGTAGACGATTCCTGCAATGATTCGGAATATTATCCACTAGTGCGAAGACAAAGGGTGCGAGAGAGAATGGATTGGTTTTATGACGATCGAGATTTTGTCATGAGGTTATGTTTGACCAAATCAGCTGTTTAACTTCATCAGATACATTGTAAACTGTAGAGAACTTCTAAAGTTATTTTTCTCCCCATGTGGATACGAAATCAAGGTAGTACGTACCAAATACGACAACAAAAGGAAAATAATAACTACAGGAACTACAAGTTCTAAGAAATACTCATTTTTTTATTCAGTAAAAACTGTATGTGACGTATGGGGGAGATTTGCCCACGTTTTCTTGAGTTCCAGAATCCCTTTCCAACATTTTAACTACAAATAGTTGAAAGGTG